TGCTGCATACCGCTGCACTGGTTTACGAGTGGGTTATCAACCTTGCAAGCTCCTGGGAGGGAGAGAGCCTGCGCCTGATTGACAATGGAGCCAAGCTGGGTGGCAGCTGAACTGCCGAGAAAGGAACAGAGGCACAAGCCCTGAGTTTTCACCACAGCAGCCACCTGAGAGCAGCAGGCGTCTGAAGGTGTCGATGAGTTGCTGTTCAAGAAGCTGAGGCATGGAGATAGGCTGCTGATCGCCGGCAAGCACCCCAGCTGAGCTGAAGAAAGGATGAAACACATTGCTGTCACAAGTAGCACAGCAAGGCTCATTTGTAACACTCCGGCAGCCATTGTTAAGGATTTTTAAGTTTTGGCTTGAGAGAGGAAGTTTCGCGACTGATAATTGGGTTTGGAAGGGGGTTTGGGATTTATAGGAATGGTAGTGATGATTCGGCGGATGATCAAACTCTCCAACTCCTTCTGGTTGGTGGTTGCGAGCCGTTGGAGTTGTTTTGAAGTATAATTGTTGGCAATCTGATACAGTTTTGTTGCAGAAGTGAGATCATGTTTTCAGAAAAATGGATTTGTGGCTTGAAATTAGTAATATGTGGGTAAGGAGAAGGGAAGATGATAGAATTTTAATAAGCATTTTCTTCTTTTCGGAGATAGTATGATGGTTCAATTTCATATAACAAGATTCCATACACATTATTTGGATGTTTAAGAGAAATCATGTAATATTGTATGAGAAGAGCTCTTTTGTAGGAATGGGCCCCCGAGATGAAATGCACAGAACAGTTGAGTTGGGACCATGTAATTAAGTGTAAGCGAACTAATTAAGACACTTTGCTTGTATGTGTGAGGTTCTTTTCTGTCTGTTTATTTATTTATACGGTTCAAGAAATTTGAAATAAATTCTTAAAACTAGTGAAATAAATGAACTGGTTTGTGCACCGACACTTTTGTTTATTCATGTTTCTAAATATGATTTAACTCAATTGAAATGATTCCACAGTGCTGATCTTGATTATATCATTACAAGACTTTACTGACTTTTGAATAGCCGAATGTAATATTACATACCGTTAAAGAAGCGGCGGAATACATTAGGGAAGTGGAAGTGATTTGAAGAAGATTAAGAAAAGAAATTTGAAAAAGATTTTAAAAGCTACATCATGTTCAAGCTTGGTCCATGTTAGATAAGAAAATATGTGAATGAGTTTGGATAAGGTTATTTATATATTTTAATTCTATAAATAATAAGGGATTATTTCTCACAATTCAGTCCCATGAGTAACTTCTAAATTTTAAATTGAATGGTGGCAAATTAAGAAGATAGTAATGTTATGCTTCCCAAAAAAAATTATGAAAATATTATTTGGACCGTAATTTTGACTTCATCATAGTGCATTACATAATATCATAATTTACATCAAAATTCGAATCCATATATGTCATGGCAACATTATTCATTTTTTAAGAGCTTATGTGTGACAAAAATATTTGATTGCAAACGATAATTGATATAGTTTCTGAAATTTCATTGGATTGCGCACAAATTTAATAGAAAATTTCAGAGCTCAAGAATGCTCAAACTATAATTCAAAAATCATCAAAAATTAATTTGGAGATCATGAGAATTCTAATTTCAACAAATCTACAATTCAAAATGAAAATTATTATTTATTACATAATTTTGCTAAAAATATGTATATTTGAGTCTAAACAGAGTTAAAAGTTGAGTAAAAAATCAAGCCAAGAACTTGCGAAAATTATTCTTTAATTAAATAGTGAAATCATATTTTGTTTGTAGCATCTCATCGATAGGATTCCAAAATATCAATCATAGTTCATTAAAGCAAATAAATTATAAAAATAAAAAAAAATTAAATTATTAGGTGATCAAGGTCGAACGCTTAACTCATTTCTTATCCATCCAACAGAGAACTAGCTTTTTTACTTCTCTTCTTTTTGTTACTCACTTCTATATAATTTATTTTTATAGTGAGGGTTAGATAAAAATGAAAGATGAATTCATACATAAATATCATAAGACAAGGTAAGGAAAAGATGTTTATAAAAAAATTCGAACTCTTTGCATCAGGATTGAGGTTGAATAATCACACATAAGCTTGGCTAATAAACTAGTTTAGCCAGTTTTAATTTACTATAATCTAGCTTAATTTTAGGACGTACCGATTACATGGGCTACCTATTTAAAACAATTAATTTGATGATTTGACTAAAGTTTAATCAAGCTTATCTTATGTTTGCCTGATTTGAATTTCATTTGATTTGGCTAGAATAAGATAATCCATTTGATCACTCATATGCTTTGGTCATCCAAATGAGATTTGAATAGTTTAGACAATGATTTCATCAATGGTTGAGTCATTTGAATAGTTTGTACAAGTAAATGTATGATACTAATTGAATTATAATCAATTTGATGATGTCTTACTAGCCCAAGTGTTTTTGATACTTAGTCAGGGTGTCAATGTCAACTAGGTGTTCATGGTACCAAGGTGGATAAATCTAGAAAAGAAAAGGGTTTAATGTGAGTTGTATCCAAAGTTGATGTCAATAGAGCTCATATCAGTCATAGTAGTGTATTCCACAACCATTTCCTCCACCAAGCCTAGACCATTTTTTGAAAGCTCGCCATTAATAAACATGCCGAAAAATGATTCTCAATGAAATTGCACTCATTTTGCTTACTTTGTGGAGGAAATCTAAATAAATAAATACTTCAAAGCCTTTGCAATCATTACTAGAGATAAAATTATTGTCCATTTGTAGTCCTAGTTTTCTCTTAGAAAGATGAATCTTTTATCTAAGAAATTTCAAAGTTCTATCAATATCTTTTGATGACACTGAATTTGTGTTGAAAACTTCCTCTACAATTTTCTAGTTTATGAATTGCTATTTGGTTTACTCTTTAAGATGAATAAACTCATTTCAAATCTGTTGCCTAATGCTATTGTTTTTTAAAGATTTTAAAATTAGTTAGTGCATATTTTTAGAGTTGTTATGAATGATCCAACAATTAAATTTTTTATATGTCACATATATAGTACTTATGAAATTTTTTTTTTTTGTCTATTAATAATGTTACATTTTGAATTTGTATATTAATAATGTTAATTGTAACATATTGATGTCATCAACTATCAATTGATCATCTAGCTTGACCTTGGAGAGACATGTTAAAGGATCTTATAGAGTAAACCACATCAATCTCCCTAAACCCTAAACCCTAAACGCTAAGTCTTATAATTTAATATCTTCTTGCTTAAGTAGATCTTATAGGTCCGCTAGATAATCTTTGCTGTGCTTTAGTAAAATTTTTTCCATTAAATATAATGGATCTTATGATTTTTTACATTTTTTTTTTAATTTTCACGTAAAAAATCATGCTATAATAGCCCAAACTCTCATTCATTGAGATATTGTTAGCTTTGGTCTACTGGCTTCCCACTTTTGTCTCATTGGTGTAACTTCCTGGGATGTCACCCATCACATAAGTACTCTACATGAACATGTTTAACATTGAAGATTCTACTAAAAAATTTAGTAGTCACACCAAAAGGTGTCTTAGTTTTTATGTACTAGGACTCATTCTACTTGAGGGGTTTCACAATCTTATGTGTCATGCTCTACTAATCTCTATTTATCAGAATACTTTGTACAATCTTAAGACATTAAAATCCATCATATGATCTTGAATATTTTAAGCTGCAGCAATTGCAATAACAATTGCATAAACCAAATGAATCTGCCATATACATCTGTGCTCAAATGTTTTGACACATTGAATTCATATTCATCATTTTTTTTTTCAACCTTCTGAATTGTAACTTGCCATCTATTTTATGTCAGATGAGCAAGGTCTCACAATTTTATCCAAAACATGAACTCATAAGTCATTCAAATGCCAGTCCATCTCCGCCGTTCTACTAATTCTACTGTTTTAATTGATGATAAATCCGAACTCAGTCTGAGAGAAAAAAGAAACTTTTATTAAAAAAATTTTGAAATCATTTTTTTAAGAAGCATTCTGACTTTGTTCTCTAATCATTCTATCTGAAAAAGAGAAGATCATTTAAACCAACTCTGTAGAATCATAGGTTAGATCTGAAATTTCTAGTTGAGGAGAAGCAAAATTCAGTCCTCATTGAACAATAATCTGATGTATATTATCAAATTTACGATAGAAGGAACTAAGCTCAAAATAGAAGGATAAAATGCATACAGCCTCAGACGAAGAGGCTTCATATTTTATAGACTGCGAATTACAGAAAAACACACATGATTACATAAAATCTAAACTCCAAAAGGCTCAAAACCAGAAGTAAAATATGGACTCAGAAGAAGCTCGCCAGAGATATGCCAAAGATTAAAGCAGAGAAAACTATGGACAAGACCGATTTATTCATCCTTCCATCAGAGGAGTCTCCCTTGGTAGACTTCGACCCGTTCCCTGCATCCGACCGAGCAATTTACAATTTTTTTCAATCAGCCAGTTCGCTCAAAAATCAAAATATTTAAAGTTTAAATCTTTATGATCAAGAGCGCACCTGAGGGGGAAACTGCAGCTAGAGGGGTGTCGCTGGGAGGGGTGTCTGGGAGGGGTGTCGCTGGGAGCGGGAGCGGTGTCGCTGGGAGGGGTGTCGCTGGGAGCGGTGTCGCTGGGTGCCTCGGAAGATGTTGGTGGGTTCGCCAGAGTGCTCGGCTCCGCCTGAGGGGACTCCGTCGGAGAGGATGACAAGGATGACGGCCCACCTCCTATAACTGAAGTAACATATACCAACAAAAATCAGTCTTTTACTTATACAGAAGCGTTTAAAACAGTTTGGAGAAATTGGTTACCTTTGCAGAGGCTAACAGGTGGTGTTTGGATGTTGCAAGCTCCTGGAAGAGCTAAAGCTCGTGTCCTGTTTAAAGCAATGCTTATAATAGGTACTCCTCCATTGATCAATGTGCAGAGGCATTGAGGCTGCGATTGCACGACGTTGCCAAGCTGAGAGCAGCAACTAGAGGAAGCAGTGGAGGAACTGCCGATGATATAATTGAGGCACGGCGAGAGGCCTAGGAGGACTGTGGTGCAGCTTGACTGGCTGGCTGCAGGAATCCAGAATGAAGCCGCAATCACGGCGGTTGCCAGCAGGAAGATCTTCATGGCTCCCTTTTCCATTACTTGTGTCTGAAAGCTTGATAAAGGCCGCAGGGGGGGAGGAGGAGATGGCTGTGGTGGTGATGCTGGTGGAGTTGAGGGATGAGGATGGAGAGCTTATAATGCTGTGCTTTTGAGAGGCTGACATATGGAAATGTAGGTGTGTGTTCTACTTTGGGTGGGTAACCAACTTCTTTCAGATGAAATTTTTCCAGGGAAAAGTAGTTAACCGTTCATTGTGCACAGATACCTGGTCGATTGGAGTTTTTGAATCTTTAATTGGGAAATTTATATACATACCACATAACTCTCATGTATTTACATAGCTAACAACCAAAAATTGATAATTACATTTATTACACTTCGGAGTTTTAAACCTTTGCATGAAAATGTGCATTTTTCTTTTAAGGAAATAATGATGAATTGATGATGGTGGTTTCGATGTGATGTTAAAGAATTGAGTAGTATGTATGTAAATATATGAATGTTTAGAGGGTCATTATGTGAATATATAAGAATTGTGTGGTATGTATATAAATGCCTCTTTTTAATATAGTAGTAGTGCTTTTTGTTTAATACAGAGATTGTATTAATCTATATGTTTGTCATGCATAATTTATGGTGATAGTATTCATTTAATTTATTGGTCAATTATTCTCAATTGACGTTTATGATATTTAATAGTATTTGATAAGATGTATCAAAGCTTAAAGTATGATAGATATCAAGTTTAGGTGGCTCTCACCACCAATTATATGGATAGAGTGTTATAAAATATTAAATGTGACATCTTTGTTTAATACAGACATAAATATACCTATATAAAAGTAAGAGAAAATAGCAATACTAAAACTATAATAAATAGAATATTCTAAATAATGAGAATATATCAAAAGTAAATGATATCTTTTTCTATTGTAAGTATTAACCACATATGATAATAATAATATAACAACATAATAACTCTAATAACTTTAATATAGATGGCAGTTTGATGATATAATTGATACATTATAATTATTGAAAAAACTCTTTTTAATGAAAGTGATAACAACAAGAGGATTTTGATGTGCTACAAGATGTTTAGGATACACATATATATATGAGGTTGGCAAATAATCACACATTGGAAGTGAAACAAGAATTCATGTTGCATTGGAAAATTTAACAATTATATTGCATTATACTAAATCACTTTGGTTGATATGAAGTATATTTCACCTAATTATTGAAATACACAATAAAATTTCATCCCATATTTTAGTATTGGACAATGTTTCAATCTTATGATCATGGATAGAGGTAATTCTCCCAATGTATTTTTACTTAAACATGATTATTTATGGCAAGATTGTTAATTCCTTAAAAAAAAAATTGGTATAGTTCTTCAAATTTTGTTTAATTGAGCAAAAAAATTGATAAAAAATTCACTAGTTAATGAAACTTAAATTAAGATATTAAAAACTTCAAAATTTAATTGTATGATCATACAAACTCTAATATTATTAAATATATAAATGACTATCTCTCAGGACGAACCTTTCAATACCAAAAACATTCAACATTGAGCTTAAATAAAGAAACAAAAAAAAAAAATGAGATGTGAGAATATAATAAAAATTATAAATAATATTTGAAGTCAAATTCTAATTTTATGCACCCATATTTGAAATTAGTGCCATATTAAGAACTAAAAAAATTTAAAATTTGAGTTCCTTCAGACCTAAATGATAGAAAAAAATGAGAGCTACCTAAAGTTCACTACAAATTTTGCACTTCTTTCCATAAATAATTCAATAACAAGCCCATATTCATCATTGATGAATAGCACCATCACTACCCCTCTGGTACCACACTGCCATCAAGTTTGTTTTTGAAAAACTCTCATGAGCAAACATATTGGGCCTATTAATTGCGTTAAAGCTGCTTAGATATCTTGCAGTTTATGTAGAAAATCTAAATTTTTGATTTTTCTAAAATCTTTGCAACATTTACAAGTCATGGGGTCATTGTTGACCTCACTTTTGGTTGATGTTTAGTTTTCTCTTCTTTAGTAGCCTAGGGTCTCGCCATAAGACTTTTATGTCGACTATTCCTAGAAAACTAGAAAATAAAACCTCACCATTAGAAACTCTAAACTCTTTTGTGCTCAACTTGAAATTTCATATACTGGTCCTAATATCTAGCACTTAGTAGGTGGGACCATTATAAAGGAAGCTCAAGGGGAGTCTCAATATGACTGTTTGGTCTTAGGGTTGACATTGGATGTTGGTATGGAGCAAGTTCACTCACTTGCACTCACTTTCACTCTCATTCACTCCCATTCACTCCCATTCACTCATGACCCCAAACCCAAACTTGTTGACTTTCATTCTTTGATCCTTTGGGAGACTCATGTAGATGGTCCCCTAGACCCGCTAGCCATAAGCTGAGGTTTAGATAAGACCAGCACATAGAGGACCCAAATGGAGATTCCATTGGTCCGTGACTCAAATCAGGATGGTTGACACCTCAATTTCACCAAATTACCCAACCCAACCTTTTGTCCCCAAAACCAACTTGAACCCTTCAATTAAACTCAATTTGATCCCAATTTTCCCCAATTTCAATTCTAACTCAAATTCATTTTTCAAATGATCAATTCAAACTAAATCTCAACCTAATTGACCCGTACTTTGAGCCCAATCTCAACTTAAATCCAAAACCCCAATTTTGTCCCAATTTAGCCATGTCTCCAAATGTCATCAAATCGAATGCCCAAATCCCAAAATTGGCACCCAATTTCACCCAATTTATGTTGAGAATCAATTTATGTTGAGAATTCTTTATGACATTCCTCTAGACCATTTTGAACCATCAATCTATACCTAACCCAATCTTTGTCTAACCCAAACCCAAGTCTAACCCAACACCCCAAAATTGACTAAGTGACAAAAATCCACCAAATTGAATTCCCAAATCTCAAAATCACTTCAAATCTTTTCTAAACCATTCATGACAACCATCTACACCATCTCTATCAATTGAGCTCAAACTAAGATTTTGACGAAAATTGAATTTTAACGTTTTTTTAAACTGATAATCGACGAAGTTGTCCGGACGATCCCGAATGATGAAACAGACAGCTCCGACGAGTCCGGAACTTCGAAACAATCTAGAGAGAACACCCACTTTGATGTGGTTCCGTGCACACACCAATTAGAGAATTTTGAGTATTAAAAATTATATAATTTTTTTTTTCACTTAAATCCCTAATCCTAAATTTCTAAATCCCTAAAAAAATATATCTCTTGCACGCCCGACAGATCCTCCGTGAATCCATCCCTTATCTTTTGCCCTCCTCAAGCCGCCCGCATGGAAGATCTCCTCCTTCTCTTCCCTCTAATCGCACGCTTGAGCCTTATCGCCTGGCTCACGTGACAGGGGGATTGGATCTCATTTTTGCACATTCTCCCCCATCTCCTTCTCCTGCGCACATACCCTGCCCCTCTCTGTGGCATTTTGACGCCTTTCTCTCCCGCCTCCCTCAACTTTGGTTCACCACAGGTAAGCAAGGAAGGCCTCCTCCTCCATCTTTGCCTATAAAAACCCCATCTGGGGGGTCTTTAGGGTTGGCCGAAAATTTTAGAGAGGGTGGAGGTGCTGCCGGATTGCTCCTAGACCTACTTTTGCTTCTCTTGTGTGCTCTACGCCAATTGGTAATTTCTTCCCTCTCTCTGTTTTCTCGGTTTATTCGATACTCCATGTCCAGTTTTGCTTGATACTACTGTAGCTTGCCCCTCAGCCCGACATATTTGGTTGTCGGGCTCGGCATCCATGTAGGTTTATTTGATATGCTTACTTGCTTAGTTGTGTGTCTATTTCTTGCTCCTTCCTTTGTTAATGGCATTGCAGGTTAAAAAAAAAAGGGAGAGGAAAGTGGGGGAATGTTTCGGTTAGCCTTGGTATGAGGAGAGCTTGCTAGGGATTGTTACTTTGCCCTCGGTCCATTAACTTCTGAGCTTTGATGTTTATCTTTTAATACTTCGTATTTGTAATTGTATCCTAGCATGTGAAAGTAAAGGGAGTGGAATTGGTTAGTTGGGTTTTATGTTGGGATGTTTATTTGGAAGCTCTTATTGTAATCCATCTTCCATCTATTTCATTGCTTTACTATTGCATATGTGAAAGAACTTGCATCGGTTAGGGGTTATACAAAGGTTGGAAGTCTTGATATTTATGTTTTGCAAAATATGAAACATCTAAGTGACATATTTGTAAAATCCGAAATATTTGGGTGGGCACATTTACAAAATTTGAAAACTTTGGAAGCTTTGGATTTCGTTTTGGGGGATCGGTTTGGCTCCCCGTGGCTACCTTCTTTGCTCAAACGTTGGATGAAATTTAAATTTTGGGACTCATTTTAGGGGCTCGGTTTAGCTCCATTGCTATGGTTTACCTATTCGAAATGCATACTGGATAAAATGTTGATTTGGGGCCAGTTTTGATGGCTCGGTTTTGGCTTCCTACTACTCTCTTGTTCAAATAGATGCTAGAAGTAAGTTTTTGGGTGTTTTGGGAATGTTGGCTTTGGGGGTGATTTACCGCATTTCTCTATTTCCTGTTATTTACCCCTTTGTTGGGCTCGGTCTTACCTTTGGGTTGGCCTTGTTTTGAATGTGTATCGGGCTTGGTCTGTTTTGGCTTGGCTGGATCCTATTTCCAGCAAAATATATGTTTGGGGTTTGGGCTTCGATGTGCCCCTTATTTTGGTATTTGATCGACTCGGTTTTAGAGTCTAGTGTGGCCCTGCTTTGACTTGTGATGTGGTTCAGCTTTAACTTTGATTGGGCCCTATTTTTGTGTGATATGTGCCTCAATTTGGGGCTTGATTTTCGGGCTTTATATTACTGCCCCTGCCCGTGAACCTTGGTGGATGTTGGCATTAGGTTTGGTGGCTTCTCTTTAGTGCCCTTGCCCGTGAGCTTTGTTTGGTGGCTCCCCTGTTGTTCCCTTTACTTGAAACATGTGTGGATGATTTTATTTAATTTTTTTTTAGCCTTTTGAGGAGCTCTTAATGCTTGCTATGCGGTTACTAGTCCCACTTGAAAAATCTGTTGGGCCTTTTTGTGAGCTTTGGGGGCTGCAACCCTTACTTGAGAGCCACTTTAAGGTGGCGTTGTCTTTTTTTGTTGTCCCTTGCTGCCCGTGGCCGAGAGCCTCCTGTTGGTCAGTTCCCTCGTGCACCTATTTGGCGGCTCCTTATTGTCCTGGTCGCAAGCACTTGTATGGATTCCTTGTGTGGTATTGGGTTCATTTGACATTGGAAACTTCTAGTTTGATATGGAATTGAATGTCTTGAGGATGGTGAAATGGAATTTGTCAATTCTTGGTGTTTGAAAGGATTTGAATGTCCCCCTTTGAAGAATGATCTATGAAATGTTTGAAATGGTTATGGAGCCCAATTCTACGGGCAGGATTGATTACAATATAAAAAAAGGGAGAAAAGAAAAAGAGGCAGATCTTTTGATGTTGGGAGAATTTAGAAATAGATTGGAGGTTTCTGGATTGTCTCTTTTGGAGATGTTTCATGGCTAGCTTGGAGGAGTGTGCTCCACTTCTTTACCTATTCGAGAATGCCTCGCCAGTTGGATATTTTAGGCTAACCCTCCTGCCACTCTGGCTTTTCTTTTCTAAATTAGTTTTGGAGGTGGTTTAGTCTCCTTTCTTTAAGTTTCTTGCTTTTTGGTTTGTTTTCCTAGCTTCTTGGTTTAGGTTTTTGGTTCTTATGCCTGAAGCATAAGTGCACATATATAGTGTTTTTGCTATATATGAACCATTAAGCAAGGTCGCAAGTAGGTCGGTTTTATTTTGGGGCTTGGGGCGGTGATGACAAATGCACATTGGTGGTAGAGAGGAATGATATTCCATCCTTCGGCATCAGGACCCAATCCAAAGACCTGGTGAACCGTAGGACGATAATATCATTCACCGACACAAGACTAGTGGGGGACCCGCGCCTTCTTAGGTTGTTGCTGATCCTATGCCCGATGACGTGATCGACTCATGTACAATCATGATTTTCACGATAAGAACATATACAATATTTATAAAAAATATTTTCACAACAAACAAAATTGATATAACTTTCTTTTTGTATGCCTGAAATCCATGTGCATGCTAAAATACATTTAAAATATATTGTAGTTGGTTGTCCACTTGTCAATTACTGATACCTGGCTAAAGAGTACCTTACTAAGTTATGTTTAGTACACTCTTCTAGTTGAGTGACGGGCTCTATACATTTGGGTGACCGATAGTAGCCTTCGACGTCTCTCAAATATAAATATATAGTATGTAAGCTTAGCCCCGACCCGAGTGCTTGCAGTATTCTCTCTTTTGATTTTTCGTGTGATTTTATTGGAGCTTTTAATAAAGCACACGTGGTCTTTTTCCGGGATCTTCCCGGGTTTTTGATGACTTTCTTTGAGTTGTTATTCACTATTTTTCTTGAGTTTTCCATCATAGGTCATTTGCCGTTTTTCTCTCGAGTTTTTCAGGTGGCGAGTTTTTCAGGTGGTGTTTCTTTTGTTGCTCACTTTTATTTATACAATGCATGCTAGTTTGTTTCTTAAATTTTGTCACTATACTCATACCTGCTACACCAATCACACTTAAAGGAGCAGTGAACCTCCTAGGTATACAAGTTTGTTTTACATTTTCAGCGCTTTACTTTACAACATACCGTACTGTTCTTGTCTACTGTACATTCTACTGCTTTCTTATACTGCATGTTTTACTGCTCCTATGCATACTGTGTTGGCACTGTTTTCCTTTGTTATACCTGCCAATATTTCTTTTACACACTATGCCTTAGAGTAGGAGACCATTAGATGGTTTTATAGGAGGTACCCGACAGCAGATCGTTGACTCAACAATTACATGTATACTTAAAATTAACATCGAACTAAAAGGTGCTACGATGGGAAATTCAGAGTTAGCATTGTTGGCAGCACGACCATCTTCAACAACAAAACATGTGTACATCAGCTAAACCACTCATTAGAATTAAACAACAAGCCATAGAATTTTGAGGTTATTTACCTAGCGCAACATAAATCATCAACTTCTCTTTAGGACTTTGTACAACTCTGTTGTACAATCTAAGTTTTAACTCGTCTTAGGATTCCGAGGTTGTTGTTCGTCACGACCTAAATCCTCATATCTTCCAGGCTGTTTGTGTGAGTGTTTCACATAAATGTAAGCCCTAATTAATAAAATTTGCAGGATAAAACAATTAAATAATTTCTCCTCGAAATTGAGGCCAAACAATAGGGTAGCTTGGGAAGTCACCGAGGTTCTCCTCCGGATCTATGACATGTCCTAGTTCTTCCTTCTTTGGATTTTACAAAAAATGTTTCAAATTTGAGTTATTCCCCTTTCACACATTTTTATCTGATCTCGTTGAAAAGTCTTATCCTTTTGAGATTTTTGAAGATAATATTCTCTGATTTTTATCAAGAGTCTTCTTAGGTGACTTTGATTATCTAAGATATAATTAACTATATGGGTTTGCCCTTATAAGAAGCTTTTCGAACCCAGCTTAATATAATCCCTATTTAATTCTTTGTATTAAATAGGGGAACTTGTCGGCTTATAAATAAAATGGTTTTTGCAGACCAAACGGTTGTCATATATTTCTTAATTTATTCGATCGAGTCTCACCCTCAAGTCTTGTGTTTATCTTTTGGGATAAATACGTGACTTGAGGTGTAGTGTTCTTTCATGTAAACTATGAAAGATATGATATCAGTTTGATTTTATATTTTTCTAAATATATATATATATATGTAAATTAAATGTTTTTCCGAAGCAGACGACGATATTTTGATTCCGACGACCGACAGCTTCCAACGGGCAACTCCTTAACTAAAATAGTGCAGGCAACCATGCATCACCAAGATTCACCTTTAGGAATTATTTTAGATAACTAAATAATTAGTTTTTTTTTTTTTTTATCTATCAACTTCATTAGACTCTTGGGTTTGAAAAATTTTAAATGGTATCCTATGCTCACCGGTTAAGTGTATCACTATCATCAAATGTTAGTCAACTGTTGAAAGCAATCATCGTCTCAGTAGGCCCAATAAATCAAACTGGGACAATGTCAAATAGTTATTCTCTAATGTTTGGTTGTTAGATTTATGACATAAATTTTGCAGATTATTGTATATGAGGGGGGAAAATAGCTTTCTCCAAATCTATAAATTTATCATAATTCTACACATTAAAGATTAATTCAACATATTAGTATGCTCACTAGCATTATGACAGAAGTTTAGCCTTGGTGGAGTGGTTTATGTCATAAAATAAAATTTAAAAAACTTCTATGTGGTATAAGAAGAAATCACATTTCATAAAAAGGCAGGTAAAATGCCAAGAAAACTTAACTAGATCTAATTTGACCTAGTTTTATGTGAGAGCATTAAGATGAATTTTGGATAGGTTAATGTGAGAGATTTTAGTGGAAAGTTTGTTGACATGGGCACGGATGCCAGAGCAAGATTTTCATAGAAAAAATAAAAAAAAATAAAATTGCTAAGATAAACAAAACCATTCACTATAATAATAGGACATGGAAGATCTCCAAATCCTCACCTTAGTGGGCATGCAACCATGCATCCAAGCTTTGGGTTTGTTTGGGGCAGCTGCAGCTTGTTGAATAGTCTGTTGATAAACTGATTAAAAATAATTTGCTGATAAGTTAGTTGCGGTGACTATTGAAAATTTTTATTTTCATGAAAAAGCCAAACCGTTGCCAGAAAGCTGTCACTGCACCTAGATAGATGCGTTGTGAAAACGTTGCTTTCAGTGTTTTCAAAACGCATAAGCTGTCAAAACGCAGTTTACCCAAACAATTTAGGTGCGTTTTCAGAACGTCACCGCACCAAATAAGCTGCCCCAAACAAATCTTTTGAAAGAAACCCCAAAATTTTCTTAATAAATAAATTGGCCTAACACAAATTTAATACAAGTTAGGAAAAAAAAAGGAAAATTAAAGAAAGAGGGGCAACCCCTTTGTTTTTTCAATGAGGGGGGTGACCCTAATGCTATGCGAAATCCTAAAAACTTATGAAATAAATTTAATAAATTAACAATCATTAAATTAATTTTTCCTTTCAT